CCCATAGGAAGGCAAGCCCATGCTGCTTGTTTGGGTTGAGCCTAACCGGACCCCATGGGTAGAGACCTGGTCTCCAGACACTCAAGACGTGCCCCTCCCACAGGCCTGACTCCAGGGTGGGGCCCCAGCAACTCACATCCGGTCAAGTGACACTGAGACCCTTGCTGTTTTCTGTCTATAAAAGTCTTCTGAATTGTTCTTTGTCAGGCCTGTCACCTGTCTGCAACACATTTCTAAAAATGATATGACATTTTGTATTTTTATAATTTCATTTTACATCTTAAGGAATTTTATGTGTTGTTTTGTTGCATTCCTCCTGCATGCACTGGGAGTTTCAAATTTCCTTAAATATTCTGTATTAAAACAATTCTATTAGCTGACAGATCAGTGTTCTTTCAGTAAAAACATACTTTTAAAATAATGGTTTCCATCACAAAAATGTACATTACCTTTACCAAAGATGCAGATAAGATTCCACACCTTAACAAAGCCTCAATTCTGGATTGTTTGCAGATGAGTTTAGTGTCACAGTAATAATAAAAAAAAGTGTTTGAATTGAATTTAATTGTTGGTGGTTAATGTTCCAGACACTCAGAGGAGCAGGTAGCAGGCTGGTTAAATAATGTCCAAAGTAAATAAAGTAAAGAGAGAGAGAAAGAAAAAAAGGATATATGTATCCAAATCAAGCACTAAACCAGGAACAAACAGGACTCCATACAAGAATCTGACAGAGAGTTAAAACAAAACAAAAAACAAAAACAAAGAGCTTTAATCTGCTGGAAGGGTTGATTAGTAAGTGAGAACATGTGTACCGGTACTCATGACTGATGGGATGCCAAGGTTTAAGGTACTGAACCAGAAGAGCAGAGGGGAAAAACTAGGACATATTACAGTATAACAACTGAAACAATCCAAAATATAAAGAAACTTCTTACCAGAATCCAACACAAATGACAAAATATAACACAAAAGCACAACATTTGTGTGAATACTTTAATCACAGTACATTATTTTACTAAACATGATTCAATTAAATTCAATTCAGTTTATTTATATAGCGCCAAATCACAACAAAGTTGTCTCAGGGCACTTTACAGGAACATTCACATAAAAGCCAATTAATGATCCAGATACCACTACACTTGGAGAAGTTGACACAACTAGTGGACAAAGTAACTATATTTTCCTGCCAAGATTTATTTCATTTTAAGTAAATTACAAACATAAATGTAAACAGTATTGTAATGCTAAATTATGGTTTTAAATGGTAATTAATTGCATATTTGCCTGAATTTGAAATTGATAAATGATAGTTCCTGATATAGTGCATTCTGGGATTCAAGATGGGGGAAGTCTGTGTTTGGCTGCCCTTTTCAGCTCATTTCTTTCCCAAATTACTTTGTTTTTATTGATTACTAGATACATTAGAGGATATTTTAGCTGTTTTTTT